AGCGCGCAATGAATTGGAAGTTGATCTGTCAGCACTGTCCTTATCTTCAGGGCAGATGTTTTTATGTTATTTGGCTCATAATTCCTTACTAAATGTAGTATTTCATCTTGATGTACTCCGTCTATGATTTAAATCAAGTTTCTCATCATTATAATTCGCTTACGATAGTGAAGAAAGTGACATAGTGGTTATTGAAAATGAAAAAATTTCGATTGACAAATTAGTCGGTATTCTCGATACAGCAATTATAGGACTTGAACAGCGGAACTTTGTAACTAAACAACAAATTATGTCTGTTTTATAGAATTAAAGAGAAAGTATTATCACATGAAACGAAGCAACTTAAACAACTTACATTGAAAGAAATGTTAATAAAGTAATATAAATATTAAGCTTTTTCTTTTTGTAAATTTTGATACCCTTTAGATGATAATTGTTCTTTATTTCATAAATTACGGTTTCATATTTTTAATTTTGTAATTTCTACATGCCATCTTACTAGATTTAAAATGATGATCTATAATCCGGAAAAATCGATAATCCGGAATCGCCGAAGTCCCGACGAGTCCGGATTAACGACTTTTGACTGTACTGCTCTCTTATAGTCTGACATAAGCCTCTGATTGGTGAACAGTTGAGGATGCTGTAGGAGACCTGGAACAAGTGCATACTTGTCTAGACTGGTTCAGCTAGGCCTGAGATTCTGTAGAGAGACATGTATTGCTCTGATATAATGAAGCTAATTCTGACATGGAGTCCGAGTTCTTGTTTGTGTAGTGTTTAGCTTTTATTCATACATGAACTGAAACCTTTCCTTATGTCTGCCTCTGATAATTTGTGTCATAAGTGCTTAAACAGTCCCAATTTGTTTTCTTATATATGTGGCAGGTTTACCATTTACAGTTAAAGGAGATTGAAATATCAGTACATTTGTCAGACAAGCCTATTTTACCTATCTTAAATTAAAAACATGTTGAAAAAGATAAATGATAGACCCCCTCACAAAGTGTGCAAGCAGTGTGTTGAGAATTTACGGATGAAGGAAACACATTTTAAATTTCCATTCGGTACACCTATGATTTGGCATGAGCCCAAAGGTCAAGTGATTGTTACATTTGTATAGTGTCAGGATCTAAGAAGGGGGAAAGTGTAAAACAGACTATCATAGTTCACCATTAGCTACATGCGCAACTGAACTCCCAGTGCTTGAAAAAGGAGCTAATGTATCCTACTTTTGATCGAGAGAAAGTGCATTTCTGCAATACTTTCAAAGTAATGATGGATTTGTGAATTGTCATAAAGTTCATAGTTTAATCAAAGAGCTGGGAATTTCAGCCTGTAATGCAAATCAATGGTTATTGTTCATCAATAGCTCAAAGTGGAACTTGAAGTGTGTGTTCCTCCACAATAGAAATCTATTTGGTACACTCACTTCTAAAAGCATTGGGCATCTGTCACATAAATGACCATCTAAGTTTTGTTTTAATGGCTAGAAGACTACAAGATATCTCACGTTGACCATCTGTCAAGTTTTGCAGCTACATCAGCCCCAATAAGGATTTCAATAGGATCTTCAAAATCATCCACAATATTTATATTAGAAGTAGCTAACTCTTCAGACAAAGTTTATTGATAATAGGTGGCAGTGACTTAGAAATAATTTGTTGACTAAGAACTTTAAGTTTCAATTCCTGTGCACACCTGATAAATACAAAGTGTATACATTGTGTTTGCATACCTGTGAGTTTCCCCCTCCAAATAAAAAGTGTTGCAAATATTCCCAATTCTGAGGTTTATAGTTCATTTCTTGAGCTGTACTTCATAATAAATACGATCGCTATGAATCTGCTCTTGCGACACATTTTTTCCCATTACCTCTAATTAACTTTAAATGTTTGCAGCATTACGTCTGGAGTGGAAGATAAGTTGAAAAGAGCTTGATCCACTTCAGCACTAATCTCAGTTCTCTTTTCAACTTCGGGTGCTTCTTCATTTTTTGGCACAGTTATTTGGTGCTTTTTTTTATGTAGAAGAATATGGTGCTTTTTATCACAACACAAGCAACAAACTTTCAAGCTACAATCCTTGACTGAATGTCCAGATTTTTAACATAAAAAATACTTGTGAGCTTGTTGAACAAGTGACTCCCTCTGCATTAAAGGTATTTTTCTTGCTTTTAGATAATTTCCAGAATAATGTGAAATAGAACAGAATATACACTGCTTTGACACTTGAGATGAAGTTAGAATGTTGTCGGAAGAGATACATTTGAAAACTTTCCACTCTTAAATTTGTTATCTATCACATTTTTCCTCACTAGAAAAATTATATTTTACTTCTGCTTTTGACTTTGAAGTGCAGAAACTTCGAGAGGCTAGAAAAATACGTTCTTCAGCTTCAACTTCATCTTGTAAAAATTCTAAAATACATTTTAAATTGCTTTTTTCAGTTATAGTTTTACTTCTATTGATTTGAATCATCTGAACTCACTTCTCGATCTCTATGATGAGCAGATATATAACACTGCCAAACAACAAGAGTTTCTTCAGGTACTGATGATTCAACTAGAAGAAATAACATGGCGTCATATTTTTCCCTAGTAACCCCTAATAGTTCAAGTGAACGAAGTTAACTCTTAATTTGATCAAACAATTTTCTTAATGAATTTTTAGGGCAGTTCTGTTTAAGAACTAATGCTAATAAATCTCTGACATATACTTGCGTCAATAATCCTTCTCTACCAAAATGCATTTTTAGCAGTTTTAAAGCTTTTCCATAACTATTACCACCTGGTGGAAAACTCTTAATTAATTCTTCAGAAGGACTGCCTCTTTCCATTGCTTGAGATAAATATGAAAATTTATTGTGAAAATCAATATTAATGTCCTCACCAATGTTTTTAAACTGCCTCCAAAAGTAAAGCCAATTTCTTACATTACTGCCAAAAGTAGGTAATTTTAGTTTTGGTTAATGCAATAAAGTGATCAGCTGCGATGTAACATTCAAACTTTCATTCTTAGAAGATAATTATTTAATCACTAGTGTTTCTAGCTTCTGTTTTAAAGATCTCCAGGGATCAATATATGTTTCTGACTCATTTACCACTTTCTCTATTTCGATATTGGAAGTATTTTCAGAATACAATTGTTTATATTTCTTTTCACATGCTATCATTAATAAAGCTTTCTCTTCAATTTAATTTATTAATTTTCTCAGCAAAATTCAGTTTAATTTCTTCCTCATAAAAAGAATTACGTGAGCTAACAGCCACCTAAGCTGTTTTCTATCTTTCAATACAGTTTCCACAATGAATAAAGAATAAAAATAATATTTTTCACTCATAAAAAGGCAGCATTGTCCTGTTGTCGGACACCAGATGTTCCATTTTGCCTTCAAATATCAGAAGACTAGTGATGTAAATGAGTCTAATCAATTATCGAATGAAACATCTTGTGACAACACAAACAGTTTATTTTACAAATCTAATAAAAGACAAACCTAGCTTTGACATCTCAAACAACACTCAAAATATAAATGGTATAAGATAATACTCATTAACACACAAATACACATGAAAAGCAATTCGAAGCAATTTTTCTCAAAAGGCAAGCTCAACACTTAAATATAAAAAATCCCTCACTGCTGCCATTCATAATTTACTAAATTATATCGAACAAAGCTAATATTAGATAGATGTTCAACTCTACAATTGGCATTCAAAAACATTATCAAAGACTTTCTTGGAAATACATGAGCATAGAACAATAACAAAATTGTCCAGAAACTTCTGGAGAATTTCAAAATACTTGGTTGCAACATGAGCATCAAAATACACATTTTACATAGCCATCTTGATAACTTGATATGTGATTCCATCAAGATCTGAAAGTCATGGAGGCATGATACCAAGGTAGATGGGATGCACATATAATGGTTGACTACTGTTCGAGCATCAAGCAAAAATGTAGATAGATTAAACCCTCCAGAAAAAGTCATAACTGAAAATGTTTACCTTAATATGTATATTTACTATCAGGCAATGTTACACACACACACAGGGAAAAAAAAAAAAAAAAAAAAAAAAAGCACAAAATTGATACAAACTGATGTTTCGAAACATTGAACAACAGTGTCAGTAATTCAATTTAGAAAGATAAAAGGAAAATACTGAAGGACATTCTGAACATGATACATGTTGGAAGAAAATGATCCTTAGCAGTTGAGTTGGGTAGAGGGTGGAAACCAGTGTCAGAACAGACAGTTAACAGACATGTCAGACATGACTGCAACCATTAACAGCACCCATTGGACCATTACTGGTAGCAGCTGTGCCTGAAGATCAGCACAGCTGGATTTGAATCTTTCAACAGTATGATATGTACAAATCTTTTAGAAAATTCTTCACATCATTCCATATAAGTCATATGCAGGAATAGAAACACAATGATTATGACAAATTGCCAGGATGGAGGTTGATGCTGCTGGGCCGTGAAGTATTCTGTGGTGAGATGAGGTTCATTTCATGTAGAAAATTTCAAAGCATGTGCTTAGAAATGAAGTATTCTGTCTTCCAAATGCAATCAAAATGTACTTTTTTTAAACAATGTTAAGAATTTTTTCCTCCAACAACAAAATGTATTTCTCATGAGAACACACATAATCTGAATAGAATTCAGTAAAACATATTTTAGTTTCATTTAAATTTTTATTACACTCATAACTAAAATAACTGTTTTCTTTAGAAATTTTTAATAAACTGTATGTCACAAATGCTATTCACATTTATTAAAAAGCAGATCCTATAAGAAAAGTAATAACTAGCCTTTTAATAAGTGTAATTTGTTAATTATCATTTGAAAGTATACTTAGTTTATATAAAAGAGTCAGCTAATTTAGACTTTCCAGGCAAAGTTCATTATCATATGCTACAATTAAGGATTTAGGAGGAAAAACAATTTACTTAATTCAGAGCACTTTCTCTATATAACTAGAAAACCTACCGGTGTTTGTACCAAAATGCAGCAGCCACTACCAGAACTCCAAAGATAGTTAATCCAAATACATTTACTATTATAATTGCAACTTCACATGATATTCTGAATAATTTCCTAACAGGCTCCACAGCACAATAACTGTATTCTGAAATATTTTAAAACTACGTTAGTGTTAAAAATATGCTAATTATTACACTATCAATGAAACATAGTTTGAGAATTAAACACCCTTTATAAAAAGTACACATTGAAAGATGCAGTTAAAATTTTTGTAACATCAAAATTCTGCATGAAAAAATAAACTTTTTTAAAATTACTTAAGCAAGAATTAAGCTTTAAATAGTTATGACAACTATTACTTCTCATTGAAAGTGTGAGATGACTACCTAAATTACACCAATCTTTTCATCTCAAATAAACTTTAAAACACCTCTTGCCCTAGGTTTGTAGTAACAGACAAAGGTGATCTAGACCTCTGATTATGCTGGATGGCTGTAAATTATTCTCGATTGAAATTAAAGTCTCAGAGATGTTTTTGATTAGAAGTTAACGAGAAACTTTTGACTGAGTTGTATCAATAACTTTGCAAAAATTGTCTTACATTAATCCCTTAATAAATAAGCAAAATTTCAGAAAGTGGTCTTTTTTACGTGAATTTTTTTGTTCTTTATTTTGACTCAACCTTTTTCTTTATTTACACTCAAAATTATTGTAGATATATTCTGTCACATTCACAGCTGAAAAAAAAATCTTGAATGTATTCACTCAGGGGTGAGGAAATCATTTAGTTTGGTGCACCTGAGTTACCTCAGTTGAATGCATGAAAAGGTTCATAAATATTTGCTTCTCGAGTAATGATTGTTAAAATTCAAGTTTGAAATAGAAAATAAAATCAACTGAAGAGAATTTTTCCCCCAACTAGAAGCAGAAGTAACATTACAGCATTTGAGCATTTAATAACATATAACTTAAATTAAAAAATAATAGGTGGCTCTTATTCAGTATTTTCTGCCTTAGAGCATGATAAAACTAGCTCTTCAGAAACAATCTATACATATACAGTGACACAAAGCTTTTCTGTATCCCTTATAGTTTAATGAAAGTAAATCATATTAAATTTTTTCAAAAAATTTGCAATTCATCACATTTCTATGCTACTTACACATGCCATATTTACCTAAAAGGCTTTAAATTACATTGAGTAATTGATTAAGCAGTTTTTTACACTTTTGAAAATCAAAATTGAAATGTATGATCTGATTAAAAGATCCTGAATTTGTCTTTGACGGCAGGTGTCGAGGCCCTCTGCAGTAAATAAATGCTGCAGAAGAGTTACTGCAAATAAAATTATTTTATCCATTTCAAAAACCTTTTCTATGAATGCATGAAATTTTGTTTAAAATTTCTATGCTATCTTTTGAAATGATGAAGTATAACTGATTTTTGCAAAACAGAAATTGCCATTTATATACGCTTATAAGGTATTTCTCCCACCTTCTTGGCATGCCTTTGTGGTGTAGTGGTCTGTAAGCTCACTGCATTTGAGAGGTCCGCGGTTCAACTCCCAGCGAAGGCTTTGCTAATTTTTCATTTCTCTTGTTCCAAAAAATTAATCCTAATATCTCTACAGTGGCGCCCAAACTAAAAGGGTGGTGGATAATGAATCTCCCCACTCAGGATTTGGCGACTTGGTCCCCTAAAAACCCGTCCCGCTTTAAAAGAGGAAGTATATAAGGTATTTGTCCCGCCTTCTTGGCATGCCTTCGTGATGTAGTGGTCTGCACGCTCAGCACGTTTAAGAGATCCGCGGTTTGATTCCTGGTGAAAGCTTTGCTAATTTTTCATTTTTCTTGCTTGAAAAATTTAATCCTAATGTCCCTACAGTGGCGCCCGAACTACAAGGGCAGTGGATAATGAATCTCCACACCCAGGATTTGGTGATTAGGTTTCTCTAAAACCCCAGTTGCTTTTTAAAAGGGGGAGTATATAAGGTATTTCTCCTGCGTTCTTGGCATGCCTTCATGGTGTAGTGGTCTGCATGCTCAGCACATTTGAGAGGTCCACGGTTCGATTCCCGGTGAAGGCGTTGCTAATTTTTCATCTCTCTTGCTCAAAATTAATCCTAATGTCCTACACGCTTTTAGATAAGGAAGAGCTATATCAAACAAATTTTATTCTACTCATGGAAAAATATACATAGAAATTTTATCTGAACTTATTCTTTTAATTTTGTGGAGTTATACAAAATAGCTGGACTTATAATATTGTCACTTTTAATATTAAGTTTAGATCCATTAGAGCTGTTCCTAGGGGGAATTGTAGAAATGATGCCCTTACTTCCAGTAAAACTAGTTTTCATTTTAAAAGGAAACAAAACAGAGGCAAATAAATGAAAAACATTTTTCAGCTTTGGCCAAGACTTCAGAGTTTTCCCCATCTAAGTTATGCATAAACTAACTGTCCAGAAAGGTTATGATGTCTTCCATTCAGGTGCACATTTGGCAATCACTTGCCAATTTTGCATAATTATTAATAGTACTCCTTCCTATGGAGGAACAGACAATCTGCATTCTTCACTTTGCTTTATTATAAATTAAATTATTAAGTAATGCAAAAATAGAGTTAACATGGATTTGATCATATTTAAAGACTAAATGGTAAATTTATATTTAAATCATAAAGTTCAAAAATCTTGTGAATGTGATTAAAAAAATATTTTTCAAACAAATTCACATAGCTAAAATACACCAATTTATATAAAAACTTCCCTTCTTTAAATAAAAAGAAATTAGCTTAACCCCGAATGGCACGACCTTTTTTTTTCTGGTAACGAGAGATTTTGTCCTTTATATACACACAAGAGCCAAAATATTATGACCAGCCCTACATTTTGCGATGAACGCGCCTGGATGACGTGGAAATCACATGATCAGGTGGAAGTGGTATTTAACTGCTGCTGGAGAGTCTGAAGAATCATTCTTTCACTTACTTCTGTGCGTGATGGAAAAGGCTGCGGTTCTAAGCGACTTTGATAGAGGGCAGATTGTAATGGCTCGAAGGCTCAGAACAAGTATTTCCGAAACTGCACGATTCGTGGGTTGTTTGCAATCTACAGTTGTTAGTACATATGAAAAGTGGATGAATGACGGTGAAACCAGCAGTAGACGACATGATGTTGGACGTCCACACGCTATCAAAGAAAAAGGTCATTGGAGACTCTCTCGCATGGTGAAGCAAAACCGGAGCCACACAGTGGCTCAGCTGACAGCCGAATACAATGCAAGGCCAAGTAGAAAAGTATCATAACACACTGTTCAGCGGACATTGTTGGATATGGGGCTACGCAGCAAACGTCCCACTCGTGTGCCTTTGCTGACCAAGCGTCATCGCCGCCTGCGCTGGACCCGGGAACATCGCGACTGGTTCAGGGATCAGTGGGAGAGAGTTGCCTGGTCAGATGAATCACGGTTTGTCATTCATCACGCCGATGGCCGTGCCAGGATACGCCGTCTTCCAGGCGAACAGTTGCTCCCTCAATGCACAGTAGGTCATACACAGGCCGGTGGTGGCAGTATTATGGTCTGGGGGACATTCTCTTGGGCGTCTCTGGGACCCGTGGTTGTGGTAGAGCAAACCATGAATGCTACAGGGTATCTGAACATCATTGCAGACCAGTTGCACCCTTACATGACCTCTGTTTTTCCAGCTAGAAATGGACAGGAATCCAACAGGACAACACCCTGTGTCACAAGGCTACAATTGTGTTGGAGTGGTTCCAGAAACATGATGCTGATTTCCAGTTAATGTCCTGGCCGCCTAACTCACCGGATCTCAATCCGATAGAACACATTTGGGATGTCATGGGACGGCAGCTCAGAGGTCAAAGACCACCAATTCGCAATATCTCGGATTTGCGTGACCGTTGCTACAACATCTGGTACAATATGTCTCCAGCCATCTATCAAGGACTTGTGGCATCCATGCCAAGGCGGGTTGAAGCTGTGTTGTGCGCCAAAGGTGGCCCAACTCATTATTGACAGGTGGTCATAATGTTTTAGCTCTTGAGTGTATATATATATATATATATTACATTACAATTGTAAATATTTTGTTTTCTTACTATCTTTAATAATGGAAATATCATCTTGATAAATACGTTTATGAAAAAAGAGACTTTAAAATAAGTAATTATAAAACTTAACTAATAAAAGCTGTTTAAACACAGGTTTTCATGATAAGATCCAAAAAGCTGTGCCATTTAGAGGGCTAACATTTCTAATTTTGACATTGTTAAAGAAAAAAGGGAGGGGACAAGCTTTTTAAATTTTATGCTTTGAAGATGATCATTGGATTTAAATTTATGGTTATTTAATGAAAACAAATTTTATAGCTGTCATTAAAATTATTTTACTGTTTTTGTTATGATTTAAATTTACTATTTAAAAATATAATGATATAGAAAGACAAACATTTATAAAAAATCGCTAGATTTTGATAATTTAATTCAATCTCACATATGTTTCTGCGATACTGATGTCAGTATCAATAAGTAGTTACAGCTATAAAAATACTGAACTAAATGAAAATGAATGGTTTCCTAAATTGAATTATAATATATGATACAGTACAAAGTCCGTACTCCGGACTCATCGAGACTTCGGCGATTCCGGATTATAGATCAATTTAAATCTGGTAAGATGGCATGCAGAAATTATACAATTAAAAATATGAAACTGTAATTTATGAAATAAAGAGCAATTATGATCTATAGGGTATAAAATTTTACAAAAAAAAAAAAAAAAAAGCTTAATATTTATTTGTTTACTTTATTAAACATTTCTTTGAATGTAAGTTGTTTAAGTTGTTTCATTTTTTGTGCTAATACTTTCTCTTTAATTCTATAAACAGACATAATTTCTTGTTCAGTTACAAAGTTCCACTATTCAAGTCCTGTAACTGCTGTGCCGAGAATACCGACTAACTTGTCAATCGAAATTTTTTCGTTTTCACCAACCTCTCTGTCACTTTCTGCATGCCTTTATCCATTTTTTGCAGCAATTCCACTTTTTGTTTGACGGACATCGAAACATGCTTTCGCTTTGTAGGTCCTTTGGCAGCTCCAGAATTGGAAACTCTTTTTGACAT